TATCATTTGTTATCATTTGTTATCATTTGTTATCATTTGTTATCATTTGTTATCATTTGTTATCATTTGTTATCATTTGTTATCATTTGTTATCATTTGTTATCATTTGTTATCATTTGTTATCATTTGTTATCATTTGTTATCATTTGTTATCATTTGTTATCATTTGTTATCATTTGTTATCATTTGGTATCATTTGTTATCATTTGTTATCATTTGTTATCATTTGTTATCATTTGTTATCATTTGTTATCATTTGTTATCATTTGTTATCATTTGTTATCATTTGTTAACATTTGTTATCATTTGTTATCATTTGTTATCATTTGTTATCATTTGTTATCATTTGTTATCATTTGTTATCATTTGTTATCATTTGTTATCATTTGTTATCATTTGTTATCATTTGTTATCATTTGTTATCATTTGTTATCATTTGTTATCATTTGTTATCATTTGTTATCATTTATTATCATTTGTTATCATTTGTTATCATTTGTTATCATTTGTTATCATTTTTAAAGTAACAAATGATGCCAGTCAAAATTTATCTACACTTTCTGCGTAACACTGTATATTGGAAGATCCAGAGGGGCAGCTGCCCCCCTTGCCCCCCTGTATACGCTCATGCCGCCACGTAATTTACCACACATATTACAGTTTTTAACCAATCGAAAAATATTCGTCAATAATAACAATATCATTAACAGAACAATGAATATTTTGTTGCAAATCGTTAATTTTCATCCTGCATTTTGATTATATATAGTCAATGTACTTACAGAGTCTGAGATTTTAGTTTTTTGATATCTGTGGGACACCTTTTACGTATTTTACAAAAACTTGTTCACCCTTACCTTTCAGTTCGCTGACTTATTACCTAAACTGCTTATAAAGTTATAATAGAACAAATAGAAGGGCCGGAAGAGGCAGGTACGATTCATATATACACCGACGGCTTTAAAACAAAACAAGGCTCAGGATGTGGAATATACTCCAGATTCGTAAACCTAAACATAAAATGGGCTGTGAGCAATAGTGCCAGTGTGGTTCAAACAGAGCTAACGGGTATTATCATAGCAGCAAAAGAAATGACCAGAAACAATATCACTGGAAGGAACATGCTCATCTATACAGATAGCAGACAAGCACTACTCACCTTGAATTTACTCAGGGTTAGTACTAGAATGTCACGAAGCTTTGGCCGAAGTATATATCAACCTTAAGATGGATCAAAGGTCACGCCACATCGAAAGATAACCGTCTTGCTGATTCACTAGCCAAGAAAGCAGCCAACCAAATACTTTTTGGACCTGGCCCTTCTATTGGCCTGACAAAATCGGTAGTGACAGACCTAATCAAAGAACATTCCCTTGTGAAATTCAAGGAAAGATGGGATGAAACAAGAAACTGCAGAGTTGCCAGGGAGCTTTTAAGTTATCCTGACAACACTACAGCAAACAAATACTTGACTATGACTAGACAGAATCTGCGCCTAGTCACAGGCATTCTGACTAGTCATTGCCAAGTACGAAAGCATCTCCATATCATGGGGCTGTCAGAATTCGCACTATGCAGAGGGTGCGAACAAGAAGATGAGACCATCGAGCATATACTTTACGATTGCCCGACGCTCTCATTTATTAGAAGATTTGTGTTCGGCGAGTATCGGCTAACACCGGCCGATATAAGAGAAGCACCTCTTGGCGACGTTGTCAACTATATAAAATCTGTAGGCTGGCTCACGAGCTAGGAGGTGCCTATCATCTCAGGAGGATGCACAATGGGCCTAATGAGGCCTAAGTGCCGTGGGGGTAACTCACCCTCCACACGTTACAGACACAGATACCTAAGCTGCTTCATGATGTTCATTTGTACAGTAGTCATATCGACCTCTAAGAAAACTTTCTTTCTTTTTATTAACCGACTTCAAAAAAGGAGGAGGTTCTCAATTCGTCGCAATATTTTTTTTTTAAGTATGTTCAGCGATAATTCTTTAACACGGTGTCCGATTTCAATGATTCTTTAAAAAAGGGGTACTTCAGGGGTGGTCCCATATAAATTTGGTCAAAATTTAATAATTGGGTTCATGAGAAAATCCTCAAACTCTTAATTTTTTCTGTATAATTTTAGCGATAATGCTTTACCACCTTGTCCGATTTATTCAATAATTTTTTGTTAGTAAGGGGGTACCTCAGGGGTGGTCCCATATAAATTTGATTAAGATGTGGTGATGGCATCTGCACGTTGTTGAAATCGGTTTTTTAAATTTTTAATTTCTAATACTTTTTTATTTATTTATTTATTTTTTTAATGATCAATTTCCGTTCTTGTTCTTCTTTCCAACCTAAGTTTTAACTATAGACAGATCTTCTGGACAAATCTCATTGACAATTTCTTTAACAGTATCAATATCAGTTATTTGCCGAGAAGCTTTAGTTTCAGGCATCATTATCAGGAAAAAGGACATGTCTTAGAATAATCTAGTCTTTCTGAAAATTTTGTATCAAAATACTATTTTTATACGTAATATTTAATAAAAAGTTTATAATGATGTTTCCTGCTTTGAAACTTCGAATATTTAACATAACATTTATTTGGTTCTTTCTGTAACCGAGTTTTCTAGGTATTTATTTGTTTAGGTTTAGTAAAAATATTTTTTTTTAAATAGTTTTTATAAAAAATGCCCTGCTAAATGGATATTATTTTAGAAATGATGATCGATATATTGAAACAGTATTTAAAAATAAATAATATAAAAAATACTAATACACTAATACTTGATTGATTTTGATATAAAATTATTATTGACCCCTTGCTGTCCTGAAGAATATTGTTTTTATAATTATGTCACTATATATTCTGGAGAAGAAGCGATATATCCAATTAAATGGTGCCGAAAATTATGAAATAAAAAATATTAAATTTTCAAATGCAAATTGTAATTTTTCCCTTAATCGACAAAAAATTTCGATGCTATAAAAAGCTATTTCTAAAGTCCCGCGACTCTCCAAATGCAAGTTTTCAAAATTTGAGGAATATTCTTGTTACAAACCCCGAAGTGTAGAATGTGTTGCCTATATTTTAGTACCGCACGCGTTTTATTGACTAAAATAATTGCAAAGAGGTTAGGAAGCATTTGCCGCTGCGCGAATTTTGCCAAAACCGAAAAACTAGATGGAAGGAGTAGGGAGATGTTCTAGGCCGGACTTAAATATTTGTATTGTAGTAACTAATTTTGGTAACTAAAAGATAAAAAATTATAAAACCTTTTTTACTTCATTTGTTAGCACGATTCATTTATGATGAGGGCAATATATAGCTAGTAGCTAAGAATCGATTCCACCGTTGTGTTAAATGAAGTTTAAATTACTGATCGAAGATTAAAATGATATTGTTAATGTATAAATGTAATTTTAATATTCGTTTAGTAATTTAAACTTCGTTTTTTGTTAATGTAGAAATGTCATTTTAATCTTCGTTTAGTATTTTAAACTTAGTTTAACACAACGGAGGAATCGGCCCTGAGTAAAAGTTTATAAAATTATTGTAACAAAATAGCTATTTGTGTATTAAGAGCAGAAACACTTTGGCTGTTGAGACAAAAAGTTGTCGAAACCGCCAAATAAATTTCTGCTCGAATTACACACAAAATAAATAATGAAATTTTATTAGATATGGGTTAGGTTAGGTTATAATATTGTAAATTTATTTGACGTAAGCCTACTCTTCGAAGAGAAAAAAATATTTTAGTATTTATATGCTGGTAATTATTTATGATTTAAACATTTAATTATTTACGGAAAATACTTTTCGATGATTTAAAATATTAGGAAGTCAATAAAAATATTTTAAATTATCCTACATTTTGTTTTAAAATACTTACCGATTAGCTTTCATTTATTTAATTCAAATAAAAAAAGACAAGCGTGCGCCAATAATGTCAAATTATGACAATTCGAGGAAAACGGGAAAACTTTAAAGCGTTTTTCCCACAACTCATGTTTCCAAAGTCGGTGCCCCTCATAACTTCAAAACTACTGCACCTATTCTTTTAAAATTTTGAACACTATTTCTGTACATAATTTGCGAGGTAACGCTGGAGAGTTTTTTTCAAATTTGTCAATACTTTTTTATTTTATAATAACAAGGTGGGTTGGCTCAGTGGTTAGAGTCATGACTTTGAGATCGGAAGGTCTCAGGTTCGAATCCCACCGTTGGCCAGGATTTTTTCATTTAATTTAATTATTTAAAATTAATTCTGTTGCCTTGGTAGGATTCCCCACTCGACCATTCACTGTTGGGTTCTAATTAACAGTGCTGTTCCTAAAGTGGCGCTAGGAAACAGTAACAAAGCCTACACGGAACACGAGACTAATGGCCGTAGTAGTCGACGCCGATGACACCAAATTAAAAAAAAACAAATTAGCCTAAAAAGTGAAAAATTGAAAATTCAAAAAACCCTTCCAGCGTTACCTAGGGAAAACGATTATCTAACGAGAGAACTTTGATTTTTTTATTTCTGATGATCCAGCACCGAGTTAGGAGAGGCACCGCAATTATACTTTTTTCCGAGACATTTCCGAATTTTTTAATATTTCTACATGAAAATTTGACACAATATTTTTTGAATGTTATACTTTAACTACCATTAGTTTAAATAATCAGATTTTTAACTGTGTCGTCAAAAAAATTCAAAAAAATGTGCCTTTTTTGCACGAATTAACTTTACCTTCCCTCCTTAAAGTATTGGAACCCAGTGTTTTATTACATAACAGTGAACATAATACTCTTCAGAAAGTTTTTTCTGTTTAGTTTATTCTAACTTATTATACAATATATTTTATAATAAGTATATTATATTAATAAGGTATTTATTTTAGTTTGATCCTCCGATAAAAGCAATAATGAAACAATACGAAGCATTCGTGCGAAATATGTGCCTTTCCACGTTTGTATACTACTGCAATTTTTTTTAGTCACATTTAATAATTTTCTAGGTGATTCAAAACGAGCAATGGATGAATACACCTCTGAAATATTGATGGGTGGTTTAAATACTATCGTAATGCATAATATGTGCGAAGACTCCCTTCTAGCCACACCGCTTATACTTGATTTAGTCCTTCTCGCTGAACTGTTCTCCAGAGTTGAAATTAAGAGAGAAGGTGCGTCTGATGAAAAATACACAAGACTTCATCCCGTCCTGTCCATTTTAAGTTACCTCTGTAAGGCTCCGTTGGTACCCAAAGGTACTCCTGTGATTAATGCTTTGAGCAAACAAAGAGCTTGTATCGAGAATGTTATGAAGGCATGTATAGGTAAGTTTCTTTTTTATTAAGTATTATTAGCTATACTTTCAGGTTTTGGTATAATATATCCAGTCAATAATTAGGAAAGAAAAAATTGTACAAAAACAAAAGCACTATACTATATTTTAATATGTTTTATTAACTATAAGGATGTTGGAAAGATAAAACGTGGTGTTAACATTTTATAAAGAATTATTATTATACAAAATTTAACAATACAGGGTGGTCCTTAAGTAATTGTACATAGAAGTATGGTAGATTCCTCACTTTAAACAATATGATAGGACTCGCATCATTCGTATTAGGCTTGAAAATTTGCACTATATTCCATCGCTATATTTAACATTGGTATGATAACATATCTTTAGTTCTTCGTTTGTAGTAGCAACTATTGGAATTTTAGGTTTTGTCTTTTGTAACCATTCAGGACCTTTCCATTATAAGATATGATTTGAAAGTTTAACTGGATCCCTTTCTCTGGTTACAATGAACAAGATTTTCATTGGATTTTTCATGACTCAAGTGCTACGGTGGAACTAGTTTTTATATTTCAGATAAGATGAATTGTAATAAAGATTCACCTCTTGTATTGGTGTCCGTGCTACCCCAAATGGTATGGTGAGCATTGGCATTGCATCCTATTATGAGTTGGAGGTTAGCCCTGGCCGCATATGGGACTATAACGCATATAATATGCGGGGGACATTGCTCCTCGCCTGGAAATATGCAGAACAGACTAGCTGTTATTTTGTATATTAGGAGAGCTGTAACAATATCAGCTGTGCAAAGCCTCAGTATTAGTACGCAATTTATCCTATTGTTGCATAAGATACCTTTCGTTATACAATATCAACTTGGTTGGTAGGCCTGCTACCCTCCCGCCATGAAACCAGCGTTCTTGTAAGAGGACTAAATCTAGACCCTCTTTGCAGAACCTTCTATATACTGTAGCATTGGCCGCCTTGGCATGATGGAGGTATACCTAAAGAACCTTGATCGTTCTGTCAACTGGGTGGCTCGTTTGCCTTCTTCGAGGCCTCTCCTTTTTTATAGGTACTCTTGGTGTTCATGCCTCTTGAGGGGAGTGACCCCACTGTGGGAAGACTCCACATCGTCGTCCTTTACTGTTTCCTCCTCTGCAGAAGACTCTTTGGGGTTCTCTTCCCTGCTGTGAGAAAACTACCTCATCGTTCTCTATTAAGGTATCTAATTGCTTGTTGTTGTTTTATAATAGTATATTATGCAACGATCATGTAATGATGGTTATTAATACACGAGCATTAACCGGGATACGAGTGTATTAATAACCATTACATGAGAGTTGCATGTGCTATTTTTTCTACACCTGATAAATATTCAAGAACTATAAATATTATTTATATTTGTATTGAACACAATAACAGTAATTACTCGTATTTCTATAAGAAATTCTACAAAATTGTAATTAATGGTATTTCCTCTGGTATATGTATTACCATAGTTTTTTGGGGCAAAATATTTTGTACTGCATTTTCTGCTTTCTCCGATATGTGTGGAGGAATCAATGGTAAGTCTTCTATATCGGAACCTAGGACAAACGTCAAATGCACAGCATGATTGATTGAAAAATTATGGGTTACTATTGATTAAAAATCTGTATCGTCATACAAAATCTGTATCATAATGGGTATCATTATGAAACGGATTATGGGCATAAAGGTGCATTATATTAATACGGTTGTAGAAAAAAGTTTTTATTAAAAACACTTGTTTTTATTAGGTAATTGGAACGGCAAATTTTTTTTAAAATAGCTTAGAAAACGATTAATGACCATATAATATTGACTAAATTAATTTTTTTTTTCAAGGTTTACCACCAGAAAACAATATGACACTCGAGCATAAAGTACCATGCTTGATGACCGATGATGCAGTACATGATTCACCCAAATTAAAGAAATGTAAAATGGAAAATGGAGAGTACTAATAACGTGGTAATTAATGGATTGATATTTATATATTTTTATGCGTATAATACATTTTGTAATTGTTAGAAAGATAAAATAAATAAATAAGTTAAGTTGTTGACTTTGATTTAGAATTTGACGTTGAATTTTGGATCAGTTGTCAGGGAATACATTAAAATAAAATACATATTGTCGTTCATGGATTGATACGGACGCATAGACGTGTATTCTTTGGATTTTTACCATTTAAATTAATATAGTCTAAATAAAATAGGAGTGCAGTACAAGTAGGCATATAACGTCCCATTTCATGACCGTACTTTGCGAAATAAGTTTTTATAATATAAATAAGGTCACGGCATATAAAATGGTATATACGCACTTCGTAGATTTAATTTTTAATGAAAAAGTTTATATTATTTACAAAAATAAAAATAACCCTAATGCTTCTGACAAAATTATTGTACTTTAACATTATACGAATTAAAATTAACCAATAAATACCAATAATAATTATATGTTTTTTTTTTAATCTAAGAACTTCGAATCCTTTTTCTTGGGCCGTCTCGTCTATAATATATTTTTTGAATTTAATTTAATTCTGCTTTCAAGGTTTGAGGAGGACTGATAATATTTTTAGAATGAAGCCATTTTGAAATATATTCGTTTTTGCATTTTGTTGTAGGTAGTAACTCTTTTAAAACCTTCCGGCAGGCGGGCTCACAAAGTTACATGAACAGGCGCGCATGTATCTCATAGATATATTACCATATTTTGGTATAAAATAAATTAAACATCAGTACCATTAGATTTCTCAACTCTTCACAATTATTTTCATTATTTAGATCGTATTTCTTTTTTCCTGATGCCATTTTAATGCCTACAAAAAAAAATTAAAACATTAATACAACATACATAGGCGCATGTATCTCTCAGATACATATAGTATCTTATTATATTTTAACATATAGAAGGATAAAATGAAAATATACAGTGAGCATCATAAGTCTTACCCCCCTAACTAACTCGTTACTGGAGTCTTGTTAGGAAAATCGCCGAGACAGGTCGATTTTTGTTTTCTACAATGTACATTTTTGTATGATTAGTTTACCCTTAATTTTATCCCTTAACTGGAGGGAAACAACCCTTTCGAAATATTTAAATGACATGGGGTGGTGAGTGATAGCTCATTTGAAAGGGGGTTTTATTCTCTATTCAACCGTGCAAAAAAATTTTAAATTTGCTTCATTACGTGTTGATTTATTAATGTTTAAAAATAACAAAACCTCACAAAATAGGAAAGCAACTAAACTAATAGTGACCTTGTAATGGCAAAAAGTCTTACTTCACGTCTGAACCAAAACCGAAATCATGCAGGGCCGAATTTTAATTCTAAGGATGAGTGCGCTACGTTAATTTCCGTTATTCTGAAACAACAATTAGTCGAGAATTAATGAAGCAAATTTCAAAAATTTTTATATGGTTGAATAGAGAATAAAACTCTCTTTCAAATGAGCTATCACTCACCACCCCATGTCATTTAAATTTTTCGAAAGGGTTGCTCCCCTCCAGTAAGGGATGAAATTAAGGGTAAACTATTCATACAAAAATTTACACTGTAAAAATCATAAATCGACGTGTCTCGGCGATTTTCCTAACAAGACTCCAGTAACGAGTTAGATATGGTGCTCACGGTATAGTATACTACTATACTCTGTTTTTAAACTAAGAGGAGTGATTTGAATTTAAGTTGGCAATTCTGTAGCCTTCTGATTGGTCAGATTACAGTCAGTTTCACACATTACTTTTTAGCATGAACATAAGCAAGAAAATCAAAGTATGTGACATAAGCTAATAATTGATATTGTTGACAGTTCTGACATTTTATAATTTGATATCTCATCCATTACTTAGTTTTTTACTTTATTTCGTAAATAATAGTTCTTCAGTAAGCAAATGTATTGAAAATTTACAATTATGGATCCTTCTACACTGAGAACTATTAAAGGTAGCAATTCCTGAAAAGCCTTACAAGAAAGGGAAGACACATTATTTTACATGCTGATTCTGAAGGTTTTGTAGAAAATGCATTATTGGTTTTTGAAGGTAAAAAGATGGGAGATTACCATGAAGAGATGAATTCCGAAGTATTTTAGAAAAAAATAATTTTATTACTGATTTTTTAAAACTAAAAATTGATGAATTTCTAACCAAAATGATTAAAATGTAACTAAATATTCAAGCAAATTTTATTTATTAGAATAGAATAAAACTATTTAAAAAATTGTTATAACATTTAAAACACCATCTACTACTTTAGGGATAATCTTAATTTGGCACAATGAGTTAACATTACTTTCACAAAAAATATTTTAAAAATACTTAAAATTAATACATAGGTATGTATGAATAGTTCACTTTAAAAAATATATGTTGACATGTAGTGTTATGAAAATGTTGGTTCCAGTTTTCAAAACAAATTCTGACTCATAGGCCTGTAAACTTTTGAATGCCTTTATTTGCCCTCTAGCGCATTAACCATGGGTTAACACTAAATAAGCCATAATATCCACATTACTCATAGAAGAGATACCAGTTACTGTGTGATCCACTTGTCATTCACTGATTAACTTTTACTTTTTATACCTATAACAAATATATCCTTAAAAATGTAAACAGATCTTTATATTTTATACTAACCTGGCTACATCTGGATATTCCATTAGGAATTTTCTTAAATATTTAATATCTATTTTAAAAAGATCATAGTTATTCTCAAAAAGTCGATTTCAAAAGCAAGAAAAAAGTATTTCTGACATCAATCAACAACCATATTGACTTTAATTTGACAGTGACATTTCGTTTTAGACACACATTTCAGATCACAATAATGTGAAATTTGCGACCGTTGTCTGGGACCAATTAAAAAATTACTTCTATGACATTTATTCGTTTCTTAACCGCTCGTTGGCCATTCACCGACTAAGGCCGATAAAGATAATTATTTCATAAATTTTGAACACGACTTATATTCCGAAACTCGCTCTTAGTAACAAATCTAGTTACTTTTCCCTGTGTAAATGCGTCTTTTCAATTCGCTCCTCCTAGTTTAAAAACAGAGTATAGTGCAGTTGATTAACTACCTACTTATACCTATTTCTTGCTCTGTGTAAAATTAGTGTTATTTTAATAAATAAACAAAATTAATTTACTGTTTTGAAGTGTTCTGTAGGGTCCCTTGACTTAACGTAATTGAAGGTATATCTAAAAACCTCCTCTTTGGTTGATATAAAGTATAAAGGTACATACTATCTGGTCTACAATATTCTAACCACATTTTTTTTGTAATTATTATTTCTTGGGTGTGAACCAACTGGACAAAATTATGCAAAATGCCTGATTCCTGTGCTAAATGCAAATTGAAAAAGAGAGATGAAAATATTATTGGCTGTGAGGGACCTTGTGGTTCCTGGTTTCATCCTGAGTGCTATCTTATGGATAATAATGATTTTAAAGTAATTCATAAGTTGAAGAATATTTATTTTATTTGTAATTCCTGCAAATCAAAAATTGAAATTGTCGACAAAAAAGAGAATGAAAACCTAAAAAGGAAAATCTCTAATCTCGATTCGAACTTTTCTAAACTTATTACCGAACAAGTGACCAAAGCTATTTTTGACCAATTCCGAGATGAGATAACGGTGGAACTTCATAAAAATATTATTCCAATTTTCTACTATTATTGTACATGTCTATGCAGTTCGAAAACTTTAAGTACTTGCACACATGTTGCATCAGTGTTATGGTTTCCAACAACACGTTTACTAAAAAGCATCCATGATGCAGCAGACCGATTATTTCCAGAAAATATCGATATCGGTCCCATAGTAGGAGAAAATTAATTTGTACTACTATTTCGTATTTGCACCTAATACTTAGAGGGAAAGCCCACTCACGCGACATGTCGCGCGCGACTGATCGCGCGCGGCAATACTTTTGATGTTTTTAAATAACTCAAAGCCCATTAACGCGGTTCTGTCGCGTGGTCGCGTGGTCATTTAAAAACATCAAAAGTATTATGTCGCGTGAGTGGCCTTTCCCTCTTAACGTTAACGTCTTGGTTCAGTTACGTCAGTCATTTGGCAGTTTATCTTTAGTTCAAGCTGTTCCTTTAATTTCATATTTGACTTTTGTTTTCTCATAAAGCTAACCTCCTATACCTTACAAAGTATCTAAATTCATATCTTTGTTTGTAATAAATTCAGTTATCTTCTGTAATTGCTATTATTATTATATTTTCCAAGTTATGAAAACATTAATAACAATGTCAAAAAAGAGAATCGGTTGTTGTGAAAACTCTACGTACATAAGTGCGAAACTTGATGCCAGAAAAGACTTGCCAAAAATGTAATGATCTATTTATATAAATTAGTAAGATATATTAAGATAAATGGGTAAATGGGTGGGTGGAACTTGAGGTGCGGCCATCTCCTCGTGAGTTCTGAGTTGATTTAACATTCAAAACCGGTTTTATTATCTTGTAGTTGCCATAAATTCCTTGAGTTTTAAACCAAGCAAAGAGCTGCACAAATCTGAATTTTTTTAAAATTTTTAATTTCTCCTCCCTAAGGGCCCAGCTAAATATTTTATTTTTTCATTAATTTTTATATAGGGTATAAACGACATAAGACACAATTTTATCACACTAACCAGAATTATTTTTTTTGCTAATTTTTGACATACCCTATTATACAAGCAGTGCAATAGTCCTACAGGGGCTAACACTTAAAACAAAATATATTAGGGGTATACCTCATTGGTGACGCGAAAAGGAAATCCCAATCTGATATAAATATACAATATAAAGAGGAAATGCTCCAGTCAAAATAAACATGTAATTCGATCATTATTCATTTCCCTAGATCCTACTTAGACCTACCTTTTTGGTAATGAAATATTGTATAACCCTGTATGCGAACTAATAAGACTTTTTTGATAAACAACCCGCTAGTTAAAAGGCAATTATCTTCTATTTTTTGCCAACATTTTGTTGATTTTTCACCTTACATATTCAACTGCAATCACCCTGTAAGTACGAAATATTTTTGGCTGCCCACAAATTCACAAATACAAGGGGTATATTTTTAATCCAACACAGTGTGTCAAAATATTTAATATACAGTATTTCTCTGGAACATATTTACTTATGTCAGTATATTAATTGTTTAAAATTCATATATTTGGTACATATTAAGTTATATTTGGAACACTAGTCATAGGATCTAATTTTACCAATAAGAATTTCGAACAAATACATCAAGAACTATACAATATAAAGTATTGAGAGAATTTGACGGTGATACATATATTTTTTTTCTGGTATTTTAGTTATATTTGTTTGGTGAAAACACCTACTTTGACTAAAACGGATCTGCGGAATTATTAATCACCCTGTAAGTGACAATATTTTAATTATAGTAGTTAAATATGTATTTTGACTACACAAAATAAGCAAATAACATCCAAAAAAATTTAAGGGTGATTTATGGGGTCCAATTTAAAAAATTAGGGATTTCTAACTTCTCAACATCTCAAAATCTAGTCATAGGATACGATTGGGCCCATGTACACTTTTGATGGGAACATCAAGTAATTTAACATAACAAAAATTCAGACATTTTGACGGTACTTCCGTTTGCATAAGAAAAGTGCGTGGTCCTTTAACACGTTTCAGGAGTCGAAAATAAGTCGATTTAAGCTAACTTGCTTGTATAAAAAATGTACACATCGTAAAAAAATATTAGTTTGTCTCATCAGAAATTTTTTTTACACTATCGTCTAGGGCCTTCTGGGGCCTATAAATACTAAGAAACATTTTAAAATAGACGTAGAATTTCAAGCACGCTAAAAATTGTTTGTACACTTGCAGACTTGCATAAACAGGAATAGACAAGATTGCAAGATTATTTTGCTATTCTATAAATTTGGAGTCGGTCTGCCTATATTCTGTAGGTAATGGATAACGTGAAAAACAAGTCATAAAATGAATGTTAAAAAATCGACTCCAAAATTGAAGAGTTTGATGATTTTTTCATGGATACCATCATCAAATATTTACCAAATTAAAATGGGACTACCCCTGAGGAACCTTCTGTGTAGCAATCATAAAAATTGGACAACGTGGTAAAGAATTGTAGTTGAACATACTTAAAAAACCTCCTACTTTTTTTGTAAAGTCGGCTAATAAAGTCGAGCCACGTTAAATTACTCAATGCTTTATTAAATAAAAAAAAAAGAACAGACTTATTAAAATTAAAGTTAAAGTTAAATAGAAATAATGACATTTAAAGAAATCATGGACAATAAACATTTTTATTTAAATTTGTGCTCCTATGTGTTTTTGTATTTGTATGCGTTTGCGTGGCAAGTCATCCTCCATCTCCGCCGCCACATCTCAATGAAGAATCAGCGGACCAGTACCCGTCTTCAATGTCTCTTCCTACACCCAGGGCATCTTCCGTTCTTACCCTCAGCACCGAGCGATCCGAGGGGAGTATCAAGGGAAAGGCGCCCTCCCACACCTAAAGTAGCTCCAAACCCCAAAATTCCAAACTTGACGCCGTCTGTTCCGATTTTGGCACCTGTGTTAGCGTTCAAGTTGGCTTCAGCAAATGCTGAGCCTGCTGATGCTTTGGCCTTAGCGAGGCTCGCTTCTGCCATGGCATCGATTCCGACGCGTTTGTGGTTAGCTTCAGCTCCTATATTACCGGAGACGCTGGGTCCTTGTGCAGACAGAGTACCCATACCCTTGCCGTAATTCTTTTTTACACTCAATGTGCTTACGCCGGCTTTAGCGCCAACATCGAGAAGATTATAGGAAAACTTTGATCCTCTATCTGTACCTGCAAACAAATTACAAATTAAACTTCGTTTTCGCGTTATATAAAACTAGTACATTACACTTCTTTTTCCCAACGTAAAACTAACTTGATTTTTAAAAATGACAATCAGTCAGATTTGACAAGTTCGTCAAAGCTCATTTAGTCAGAAATCAGCACCCCGAAATTCGATCATCTACTGTGCACTCAAAGATATACTTTTTAAAAATATGCACTATATTAGGAATGAGTTCACGGATGCAAATCCGGAGGGCTATATTAAATTAGCAATTGCAAAAACGAATAAAAAATATTTTTCGATTATTTTGATTAATCGTAAATAAACAATTTTTTTTGTTTAACTCACGATTGTGAAGCCGTTATTCAATTTTTTTTTTTTTAATTCTTGCAACACTCGAAAGCTGAATCATTCTAGATTTCAACGCAATGTGGAAAAAAATTGTATACATACAAAATTATCAGATTATTTAAAAGGAGGCGCGGTACCAAAACAAAGGTGAAAATTTCAGCATCGAGCAAATTTGTGAATGGTTAAAGATAGATATATGATTAATCAACGAAAAATGTGCCAAAATGAATGGAAAAGTTTTTGGTGGAAACAAAAATTCTCTGTTGGTATTGGTTTCTGAGAAAGGAATTTTTTTTGTGAAACGCCTATGCGGCCCTGCCGCAACCTTTTTCGATCGCGCGTCGTTCGTCGAAGGTCACTGTGTGTAGTGTTATCAGGACTGTGGGTGTGAATAGACACGTTGGAACAAAGTTGTTTTAAACAGCCAAGAATTTGAAATTCAAGATAATATTGGAGTCCTTAATTGGCAGCAGTTTTTTTAGTAATAATAAGAATAAATCACGGATACTAAAATATATTTCTAGAAAACTATGTACAGCATTTAACCGCCTTCCCAAGAATATTTCCATGATAACCACTGTAATTCCAGATAATAGCAGCTGTACTACTCTAACTTGTTCCGCAACCACTAAAATACTACCAGAACTAAACTTTTCTCACCACAATGAAGCCGACACTAGAATATTTGCCATTATCCAATACTTATCAAACCTACAGTACCGTCAAATAATAATAGAGGTCACTGATACAGACATATTTGTTTTGGCTCTCTACTTTATTACTGGGTTCATATTACTGGGTTATCTATCCAGGAAATATGGTTTTATAAATTTGACACATATACTAGTGCACCACAAAATAGAATAATTATTATCTACGGATAAATCTTAACTTTTGAGTACTTACATTTTAACTGGTTGTGCTACAGTAAGCATTATATTTAGAAAAGGTAAAACTAACGCTTTAAAAAAATGTTTGAGTTGCGAACACGACACAGAATTAAAAGAACTTATAAGTTATCCTAAAAATGTTGGCCAGAATTTAATTAATTTCGATAACGCGGCTAGATATTTTTTCAAAATTTTGTATGCTAGGCCATTATTTGCAGGTGATTTAAATAAATTACGCGTTTATCTATTTTATACCTGTAAATCTGATATAAGGAATTTGCGAGGATGCATTTCATCAGCATATATTAGGAGCTGCGTATCAATTGATTGTCTGGAAGAGCGCTATTTTAATAAACCCAGAAATACCCAACCCCGTTGATTTTGGTTGGGATTCAAAAGAAAATAATTTAATGCTTCCAAAATTGACCACAATAAGTATTCGTCCCGATATATAATTCGAAAATGTGTGCTGCAAATGCAAACTTCAGATATGTACTAGAAATTGTAGTTGTTTAAAAGCAGGATTTATACATTTTTTTATCCTCATATAGTTTATAACGTAACTACTCTGAAGTACATTTATTTTTGTATTATCATTATCTTGTAGTTGTTTTTAGTGTATACAAATGTATAGTGTTGATATGAATTAATAGAAAGATATTGCAAATTTCTATAACGTCAGCCACTAATAGTGACAACGTTATTAGAGGCAAATAAATTCCATGCTAAAATAAGACCTATTGAAAACCTGAAGTTTTGATATTAGAGTCCTTGTCCTTATAAATATTTATAACCTCATTTTAAAAATTTTAAATTACTGTTGATCACTTTTGTCTTTAATAGAACGACATATGAAGGAGGCATTAGAAATTACCATCTTAAAAGGTATAGATGACGATGTTATTAAATATCTAATACAAAGAGGTTAGAAAGGGTAGAGGTAACATAGGAAGCATTTCTCGCTGCGCGAATTTTGCCAAAACCGAAAAACTGGGTGGAAGGAGTAGGGAGATGTTCTGGGCCGGACTTAAATATTTGTATTGTAGTACCTAATTTTGGTGGGTAATTAAAAGATGAAAAATTATGAGACGTTTGTTTGACTTTATTTGTTAGCACGATTCATGTATGACGAGGGCAATAACACTTTATCAATATATAACTAGCTAAGGGCCGATTCCACCGTTGTGTTAAACGAAGTTTAAATTATTAAAAGAAGATTAAAATGACATTGTTAATGTAAAAATGTCATTTTAAACTCCATTTAGTAATTTAAACTTCGTTTTTGTTAATATAAAAATGTCATTTTAATCTTCGTTTAGTATTTTAAACTTCGTTTAACAAAACGGTGAAATCGACCCTAAGTAAAAGTTTATAAGTACTTTTTGCTCGAATTACACACAAGATTTTTTCTACGATCACACCAAAATAAAATAAATAACTAAATTTTATTAGAAATGGGTTACCTTTTCGTTCGTTATAATATTTTAAGTTTATTTGACATAGGCCTACTGTTTTAAGAGAAAAAAATGTTTTGGTACTTATATCCTGGTAAATATTTATGATTTAATTATTTACGGAAAATACCGTTCAATGAATTAAAATATTAGAAAGTCAATTAATAGTTATTTATGTAACCAGTTACGAAATGCCTTATTTTGTGTAACGAGTAAATATTTGCAAAACGAGCGGAGCGAGTTCCCGCAACATGAACGACTTACACAAAACGGCATTTCGTAACGTGTTTCTATACAAGATTTTTTCTAATTTTGACTTGATTATTTATAAAATTGTGTTGAAAAATGATTCATCATCATTCTTGTGTAGGTACTTCCAATCAATTATTTTAGAAAATTGTTGTATTTGATTGCCCTACGACGTTTTTTTTTTCAATAGTAATAATAAAAATAAGGGACATGTGCAGTGTTGCCGATCTAATTTTTGACATTACCCGCGAGAAATTTGAAAAAAAAACATTTTTACCCATTATCCTTAAAGAAGTACGTCAAAATTTTACCCCCAACATTTCTGGGCAGTTTTCAATAACGGTGTTATTTTAAAAATTAAACGCAATTTACAGCTTTTCTTTTTTTGTTTTCTTTTTTGTTTTTAAACGTAATGTCATATTTTCAAATGTGAAATGTCACTATTCATTGCCTCTTTTTCAATATTTGGTTTTGTCGATTTTTCGTTTTTTGGATTTTTCTATTTTTTATTTTTAGATTTTTCGATTTCTCGATTTTTCGATTTCTCAATTTCTCGATTTCACGATTTTTTGATTTTTCAACTTAGAAACCAAAAAAGAGGCAGTTTTATTTATTTTCATTTCGTAACTGGTGACATAATCAACTTTTCGTAATCAGTTGCATAATGTTCTACTTTATGCAAATGTCCATATAAATATTCTTTAAATTTATTTAAGCCAAAAATTATTGCAAGGACCTTTCTTTCAATTTGGGAATATTTTTGTTCGGACTTTGATAAGGTACGCGAAGCAGAAGCTATACATTTTTCAATATTTTTATTTTTTTAAAAACATGACATATCATGGCCCTTATTCCCACATTTGATGCATCTACGAATAATTTAATCGGCAACTCAGGCTGAAAATGCACAAGAGCATCATTTAGTTTTGATTTATTCCAAAGATTCCTTGAAAAAATTATCCCAAATCCATTTCACCCATAAAAAATTAATTAAAAAAAAGTCCTAACGCAAAATCATATCCTCCTTCCTGTTAGTGACTTAAAAAAATTACTTCCCAAAAAACGGTCCTCAAGCCAGGTCCCTCCATTTTGTGGCGATAGTACTGTTTTTTTATTGTGATTATTTTCTTCGCGGAAACTTTGGCTTTACACTTTGAGTAACACTGTTATAGATAATTACTAAATAAATAGTTTTGAGAAAACTATTGAAACCAGTTGTGAAGTTTGAAACGAATAAATTGGCAATGAAATTGATATTTTGGTATGTTTCTCTTTTCACTTCCTAAAAAAAGATTCCCTATGAAACAAGAAATAGTAAACAGTTTATAATAATAACCTTTATTTGCTACTTATAACATGTACCAATGACCAAGTCCGATTCTGTTTATTTTCAAATCAACAAATATGGACGTCGACAGAATCTTTAAAAATTAAATATCTCACCGAAATAAATATAAGTTTCTTTTATCTCCGTCACATTTCACAGGTTTATTATAAATAAAGCTTTTTACAACACATCTTGGCATTTTCAACGTTAATTTCCAAAATTTAAGTCACTAAAGTACCAAATTAATTCTCGTTGACACATTAAATTTGGATGGACAACGGTCTGACATGTGATGTTCTCAACTGTGATTGGTGGGTGTGAATCATTTTGAAATGGGATTATGCGCAGTGTCTTATGTTCCATCTAAGGTTTGTATAATCTAAGATCTAATATTAAAAAACCACAATTACGGACAAGCACAATCTTTAATAAAGTCAGTTCTAGAACCTAAACAATCTGTGCATGCTCAGATGTCAAAATAAGAGCGGCGCTAATAATGACTGACCTTAAGTGAACTTGCAATAACACTCTATTAGGTTAAATAAATATTAATTTAATCCCTGATGGTTGTTTTTTACCGATGTTTAGGT